AACTCACAAAAATAAGGGATTTTATTTTTAGCCCACAAAAAATGGTTCCTGCTACTAAGAAAAATAGTATTTTTTTTTTCTAATCCTATGCGCAGCTCACGCAAAAGGCCAAGAAAAATCAATATATATTTTTTTTCGGTTTGAAACAAGCACGTCTCTGTTGATCGAGAGCAGCCGAAAGAGTGAAAAAAAAATGAGAAAGAGCAGCCAAAAGAGAGAAAAATAAATGAGTCTCAGTTGATCGAGACTTAGAATCCGAGAGAGAGAAAAATTTAACGAGGCTGTGATACCATGACAAATATGTGAACACCAATTCATTTCACAAAACCTTGCTTTCCGAGATTCACAAGAGCCGAATATAAAGATACAAAGGAAGCCCTAAAAAATCAATATACACCAAATCTCTAAGATACCAAAATCTATCTATACAAAAAATACAATATTCACAAAATCACTCTAACAAACTCAATGTTTTATATTTATTTTCTTGACTTTAGAAGCATGTTCTTAGTCTAATTTTATTATAGATTCTAGGATCTTTTAGTACTCGGATTGATTTATGATCTAGCTTGTATTCAATTCGTTCTGATTTATCTTGCGTTTGTGAATTTCTTGTGTTTATTTATTGTATATGTAGAAGATGGTTACTATGAATACATATTTGTGATTGATTTCAGACTGAGAGAAAATAATTGATTGTTAGAATCGAAGAGTATATAACGTAAGAGTCGATAGGATCTTACGAGAGAACAAAAATTTTGGTAACTTATGGAGTTGTTGTTCATCTTGAGACCGCGAGAAGATAGATAACAATTAAATCTACGATTGAACTTATGTGAGAGAGATTAAATTAATTTAACGATTATCACTAATTTAGTAAAATTTAAATTAATTTAGCGATCACCTCTACATTCGTAAAATTAAATAAGATACGGATGAATTTAAACATTTCATGAATTAACTCCGAAAAAAACATAACCTGAAATCTATTATTTATATCTTACTTTATTTCAATTTTCTTAGATAAATTAATTCTTAATTTAATTTCTTAGTTCATAATTAATCTCTCAAATTGCATCAACCTAGATAATATGGATTTTAGTATTTAATTAATTTAGCTACTTCGTACACTTTAAAATAATTAGCGAACATAAGGCATGTCAGGTCTAGGTTCATATTAAACCTGGAAAAGTGTTACTACTGTTTTGCAATATTTGTTTCAAATTAGTATTCATAAATCGGGGGAAGAGGGTGCGATCCCACCAGGTGAAGCACACCATAAGAGGGTGAGCCCAGATGCACCTTAGTGAAGTTCTATCCCAAAACTAATTGGTGATGGGAGGAGTAGCTCACTAGGTTTATATACTAAGCTCATTTTCGCTATAGAATCAATATGAGACAACTCACAAGTGATATTCCAATAATTTGTGACATTGAAAGGAAGATGTTATAGACGCTACTTTACAAAATAATGAATTGTTGACATTAAAAACCACATTAACTGCAGATTGTGACCGGTTCACGAAATAATGAATTTATCGTCAAAATGGCAAAATGACAGATCACATTAGAATGCAATCTGCAATCTGTAACATTTTTGTGGAATTGGAATTGTGAAATCTTCTAGATATTTGAGTCTCCCCTTGGGGATTGGTAGATCTAAAAAGGATACTTTTAAATTTGTTATTGAGTGTGTAGTTTCTAAAGTATCTAGGGAAGAATATATTTTTGAGTGAAGCTGGGAGACACTCTTATAAAGTCTGTACTAAATGCTATGCATATTTATGTCATGTCTGTTTTCAAAATTCCAGTGAGTGTTTGTGCAGAGCTTTGTAGGATTATTGCAAATTTTTGGTGGGCAGAGGGAGGAGGGTAAGAATAGGATCCACTGGGCATGTTGGGATAAGCATGCTAGAGCTAAGGTAGATGGAGGATTGGGGTTCAGGGAATTTGGGTTTTGAATGTAGCTTTAATTCTTAAGCAGATATGGAGGGTGTTAACCAAACCAAATCTGCTTATGAGTAAGGCAGTGAGGGGTAAATATTTTTATAACCAAAACGTGATGGAGGTCTCTAAGAGAAGTACTGATTCTTGGTTGTGGAATGGGTGGTTGGGAGTGAGGTCCTCTTTAAAGTTGGATATGAGATATCAAATAGGAAATGGCAGGTCTGTTAAAATTTGGGACTCCCCTTGGATCCCAAAGAGTCCTAATTTTCAGCCATATTGTGTGTTTCAGAGGGATAGAGAAAGTTTGTGTTGGGTATCTGATTTGATCTTGACAGGTACTAAGTCTTGGGATGAGGATTTGATCAGACAAACCCTCACTCTTGATGATGCTGAAAACATTCTCAATATTCACATAAGCCACTTGGGTGTGAAGGACATGTTAGTGTGGGCAGTAGATAAAAGAGGAAAATTCTCAGTGAAAAGTGCTTATAACCTAATCTTGAGCAAAAGAGAGAACATCACAAATGGGCAGGCAACTAGCACTTCAAATTGCAGTAATCAGTTGATGTGTAAGAAGCTCTGGGCTCTACCTGTTAAACACAAGCTAAAATTCTTTCTATAGAGGTGCTGGTTCAATTACCTTGGAACAAAAGCAGAACTGAAGAAAAAGGGGTTGGAAGTGGACGATGTATGTTGCTGGTATGCAGTTGCAGTGAAAACTATAGAGCACTTATTTTTCACTTGTGATATGGCAGAAAAAGTCTAGAAAATTGCTCGGCTTTCATGGACTAACATGCATAACAGGCAGATCAGTTTTCAAGAATGGTGGACATATCTATCTCATATTGACAGTGCTCATAATTATGTGGACAGAGTAAGTTTGTCTACATATTTGTGATGGTGGTTATGGACCACTAGAAACAACTGGGTTTAGAGGAGAAAGAATTGATGAACTGAACCTGGTCCAGAGGGCTAAAGGTGAATGGTTGGAATATGAGGAGGTCAAGGACATCCCAGGGATGTGGAGGGAGGTAATGTGGAGCAGCAAGGAATTAGGCAGAGTTTAGGAGTAGGGCAGCAGATCTCTGTTGCCAGTGCTATGGACTCAAGAACTAAGACTTGGTTGGTTTAAGGACAAGCTTATGATCAAAATGCAATGATAGCAAGATGGGGGCATTGAAGCAGATCAAGCCAAGACATCAGTAGAAGACATGTTGTGATTAAGGGAATGGTTGGAAACAGGGGTGATTGAAGGATGGAACAGAGTGCAGGTGTGTTTTCAAAACAAGAAGATGGTTGATCTATTGAAATGCAACCTGATTGCCAGGTTAATTTGTCTGTTCTTGTGGAAGATATTGCATTGTTGGGATATTTGTTGAACCTGGATATTTCTTCTTGATTTTGTTTTAGATTTATATAGTCGGAAGAAGAGGGTGTGGTCCCACCAAGTGAAGCGCACCATAAGAGGGTGAGCCTAGATGCACCATAAGAAAATAAGCTTAGGTGCACCATAGTGAGATTCTATCCCAAAACTAATTGGTGATGAGAGGAGTAGCCCACTAGACTTATATATTAGACTCATTTTCCCTATAGAATCCATGTGGGACAACTCACAAGTGATATTTCAACATTTTGTGGTATTATTTGGACCTATGTGGTCTCTTAGGGGACACAGGTAGTGATCCCCGGGGCAGATTTCAGGTTTAGCTTGAAATTTGTAATGTAATCTTGTAGATTACTCAGACTGTTGTATTTGAGTTTTCTTGGTTAATGACATTTGATGTTTGAAAAAAAAAAAAAGACAGATCACATTAGAACTAAAGATCATCCATCCCATGCGCCAATTTTTAGGCGAAAAATTTAATGGGAAAGATTAATTACAACGATTAGACTTGAATGTATGAACAAAACACAGTATTTATCTGGCAAGCACACAGAATTGGAGGACGTTTTTTCTTTATGCCACATTCTCATATTGAGATTCTCCAATTGTATGTGATAAAGTTGAAACTCTTCAAGGTATTAAATATTGAAATGAGTATCTATCAGGTTTAACCAAGGCCTCTGACATACTGGTCGACGGTTTTATTAAATAGCTCGCATCTGCATGAACAAGGCACGAAGAAACAAAGGAAATACTAAGTACTGTTTCTAAACAGATAATTACGTCAACATAAAAATATTAACATTCAGACCTTTTATGAATATCTATGCATGTATATATACATGCATACCACAATCTTATAGCTCAAGTGGACCATTTATAAAAATGTTGTACTAGTTGATACAAGGCTTGGTACCTGTATATCCCAATTAGTTATACATATATACGATAAAATAATAATTATGTTTACTTTTTTATATATGAAGATAGTGTCACGATAAACAAGACGACAACGATGATATCCAAAAGTAAATAAACTTTTTAACCAAATTAATCACTTTTCTGTATGCAAGTGGGCTAAAGTTGTAATAGGCTTGAATACAAAGAAGCCGAATGAGCTACAAGCCCTACAAAAGTAAAAGAAAACAAAAAAATCACTCGCCTGATGGGAGATCCTGGTGAATATAGTGGATTCTTGACGACATATTCAACGTACAAGTTGTAGATGTACTTGAGGGAGTCTCTCAGATCACCTGTTCTTGGATGAGTAACACGGATGATCTGTAGAAAAAGAAACAGAAAAGGCAACTTTGAGAGAAGTTAATAAATGAATGTTGAAAAAATCAAGAAGGAATTGAAAATAGTGACCTTCATCCACCCTTACCGGATCAAATCGATATGCACAAAAATGACGCAGAATACATTTAATGCTTAAATGTGAGAATACAAGGTGCGTAGAAGAATTCACATTATCTGACATGCACCCATTTACACATTGTATTCTTCGATTAGCAATTAAGCTGGCCGGTAGACTAAAACCAAAGCCCTTAAAATACTTTAAAATGCTTTAAAATGAAAATTACACAATGATTAAAATAAAAGATTAAAATTTCCAGCATCTCTAAGTCTGGTGCTTAGCAACAGTTACAAGCATCTGAACCTGTTCATGGTTTAGAATGCTCTGTTTGAAGCCCAGGGCAAACAGCAAGCATTTTTTCCAAATATATACTTCTTAGCTGATAACTAAAAGTACTTTATAGCTGAAACACACATTTACTAAAATGAAGAATTCTCTATCATCCGTCAGTATCCTAGTTGGAATTGGAATGAAAAGTTTAATGTCCAAAAATACACAGAAAAACATTATAGCCGCCTTCGCCCATCATGTCCTTATGTCAGATTTTCAAATACTTACAAAAGTCATTCAAAAAGTAGAAAAGGAAGAAAGAACTTATTACTAATCTTTGTGTTGTCCTTCAGCTAACAATGAACAACCATAACTAGATACCATTCTTTTAGAAAGATTATAAATTACTATGAAACACTTGTTACTATGACCAACAACAAATCTTTGAAAGTGTATATCCTAAAAACTTTGATTACATCACTACAATATTACATAATCCTCCAGTAATCGCCAAAGTCCTTTTTCCTAATGTTTAGTCCATCATTTGTGCCAAGCAATTCTTGACATACATCATAGTATGAGTTTCTGAGCTAAAAAGGTTGGCTCACTTTATGTTCAAAGGAACAATTTCAAACACCTATTTCTTTAGCGACGAAGGACTAAAACAACTTAACTCCTTTCTTTCAACTTATAAACATCAGTTCAATAGCATGGAACATGCATTACTCTACAACGAAAAGTTTAATTAACAACAAGATAGACTCAGAAAGACAGTAACATGAATAATCTTGAGCATATGCAGTAGACTGACTTTTAAACTACAATTTCACCTGTAAAATAACTTCACCATTTTCAGCATGGATGCCTTGCATTAGCACAGTCACAACTTAATAAAACCAGAATCAGTAGAGAAAGACTACGAATCAAGTACTTTGTCCCACATAAGAAGTAAATCAACAATGAGATTCAACTTACCTGCCAAAACTGATCATTAATGGCTACACATAGCAGAACAAATTCATTTTTCTCAACTAACCAACCTTGATCCCAGATGGGCTCTCCATAAAGCTCAATTTGTAAGTATTAGTTCGAAAACTGTGAAATGAACACCCTTGCCCAGGCAGCTGCGGCACCCCAAGATTCCCTTTTTCAGCACTGCTCATATAAGAAAAATGAAAATCGTGATTTGAGAGAGAGAGAGAGAGAGAAGGGTATAACATCGGGCACCTGGTGGGATCCATTTTAGCGGTCAAGGACTTGAGGGAGAAGAGGAGGCCGAACATGAGCTTGTGATCTTGCTGCGAGCTTAGGGTTTTGAGGGGGCGATTCCATTCTCTGTATAGCAAGCAGACTCCATTTCTGTTGAAAATGTAGAGCATGTGGGCATTGTTCCCGGACGCGGTGGGCGCCGGCGGGGATGGACTGATTTCTGTGCCTCCAAAGAATTGCATTTTTGCTCAACTGAATTGATTGGAACTATTACGAAAAAAAAAAATAAAAAATAAAAAAATAATAAAAAATGATATACTAACTTTTTATTATACAAAATATTGTTTTTTTTTATACTAATTCTTAATTACGAATTTACGATTGTCATACATGAATCAATAGTTTTACCAAGTCAAATGCTTTTTAAATATGGTAAATGCTTAAATACTAGTGTTTTTTATACGACGCCATATTTGCTCTGGTAATTGAGATTCTTTACTGTCCTCCTTTTACGTCACCGTCTCTCTATTTACTCATTTGCCCTTAACCTTTATCTTTCTAAATTTTCTCTCTCTCTAAATTCCCGAACTTTCAACAAGCGATTCGAGCACGGAAAAAAATCCAAAAAAATGTCGAAAAAATCCAACGACATCGGCAAAGCGTTCTTCTCTAGCAAGGTAATATTTTTTTTTTACGCATGAATAATTTTTAATTTTTTTTTTTTTAATTCTNATATTATAATAATAATAAGTTGAATAAATTGTAATTAATTATAAATTCTAAAAATAATATTAATAATATTAATAATTATAAATTATAAATGCTTATAATAATAATATTATAAGAAATAATAATAATAATTTGTAATGATAATTATAATTAAATATAATAATAATTATAAATTAGTATTAATTATAATAACTATTATAAATCTCAACAATTATAATTATAATAATAATGAATAAAATTTATATATTAAAATAAAAATGAATTATAATCTATTGTAATAGTTATTAGAATAATCATTACCTATGGAAAAATTTAATAATTATATTTCTGATTCAGGGTGTTGGCAGACCTGGACAATCTAATGCCAGGGACGACGACGAGGCGTTCGATGACTATTATGATGGTTCTGGCACCCGACACACTAGAAGTCGGGTGTCAATGCGTCCGTTCGTCGGGAGAGGGACATGGAAAGGCAGGCGATGATCGATGAGGCTCGGAGGGTACAGATTCGTCAGGCTAGGAAGAGTTTGAGACCCCCCGCACCAGTGCGAGATGGTCCGCAGGGATATCATTTTGAGGGCCAGCCAGATAGTTCGCGACTCCACGGAGTCCTCCCGTACGGTGAGCATGGATTTTATTATCCTGGCCAAGCAGGCAGTTCGATGCCCCCGGCACCAGGACCGTATGATCAGTCGCGATATACTTTTCCCCGCTACGCAGGGAAGTCGATACCTCCTCGCGCACGCGTACCATTACCCTATGGTCAGCAGGGGTATGCTGATGAGTCGTACGGTGGGAGGGAGCAGGGTTCAGAGGAGTGTGACTCGGACGACTCCTCAGATGATCAGGACCACGCACAGCCTACGGGTCCTAGCCACCCTCGTCCTCATGTACAGCCTGTTCGTCCAATACAGCCGGTTCTACAGCAGGTTCATCCGGTACAGGCTGTTCGTCCTACACAGGCTGCTTCTCAACGACAGGCTGGGGGGCGTTTTGCCCCATCTGCATCCTCATCAGGTAAATAATTTACGTACTTATTGTTGTTTAACATAAATTATTTTCACTTAATCATAACAAATTATCGGTACTGTTAGAAAAGTATTATCGGCCTGCTCCTCAACTACGGTATAATTATTTTGTAATTTAGAGGAACCATACAATTAATTAGTTAGAAAATTATTATAATTATTTTTATTATTGTTATAATCAATTAGTAGTAATGTTACATAATAAATTAGTTTAAAATTTTCATTATATTTTATTAATGTAAAATGTAACTGTTGACATCCGAGTTCACCTCAAAAGGAAACCGGACATGCGGTGACTCCCAAAAGTCGAACCGGCTCTCCCACCAGCTCACAAGTGCCGAGCTGAATTCCGGTTTTGATTGACCCTGACACCCCCGTGGGTCCATTCATTAAACCGGCGTTCATGACATCTAAGCACCGGTACCGGCCTGATGAGTGACGAGCTGGAGGAAGGCTCCCCGGGGCGGAAAGAGCAGAACGGAAGCAGGAGCCGACCCGAGGTCTCATAACGGACCCCCAATGATGGATGCCGGGCTCAATAATAATATAATAATGCCACTTGGAGAGCAATCATTGGTGATTGGATAGGGCGTCCTAGCCTGCAAGTCTACATCCACTAGCCAAGACATAAAGCTTGTCAGCATTAAATGACCCCCTGTGTGTATTAAATGTCTGCCAGGCAATGATGAGAAAAACCTCAAATAGCATTAAATTCTGTCAGGGGGTTGCCGGACTGCTCTGCGACGACATTGTACGACAAGACCGGTGAACAATACCTGAACAGTACAACATTAATCAGCACTATAAATAGCAACCCTCTCATTTATTTCTGGGTTGTTGAATTTCCAACTGTCTTTACTCTCTCTACATTTTCTCTCTCTAAACTTGTAGGGAATTTGTGTGAGAATTCTAAGTATATCGCAAGTGCCGACCTTGTACGAGAGGCCGACCTCGTGATCAGTTAATAAAGCCATAATTAAACCGTATTCCCTTGTCTTTTCTCTTTACTTTTTCGCTATTTATCTTTTTTAACCGTTGACCGGAAACGCCCGTCAACAGTAACGTTTGTACATTAATTGAAAAAAAAAAAACGGGAAACTTATGAAATATGTTTTATTAAATATATTTTATTTAATGCATCTGCCAGCGAGTCAATATATACAGATACGTTGTATTTTTATGCAGGTACTAGCAAACGAGCTAGGACCGATGATGATGCACCCTGGATAGTTAAAGGCCCAGTGCCCGGTGGGCCCAATGATGGGAGTGTCATCTCTAGCTTTCTAGGGCACATCGCCTCCCTTATGTGGAGTGGAGATTTTAGGGGGCCGCTTGCCACAACAGACTGAGAGCGATCGAGAATCTGAAGGCTTAGCGTGAAGAGATGTCTTCCGATGCGAGAGCTCTTCTCGACCAGACCGGGCTGTCACATTTGGCCGACTCCATGCACATCCACTTGGACATTCCACTCCTTTCTGTGTTTGTGGAGCGATGGCAGCCGGATACTAACTCGTTTCACCTGCCTTTTGGTGAAATGAGCATCATGCTGCACGACGTCCGGGCCATTTTGGGCGTTCCTGTGGAGGGAGTCGTGGTCGCTGAGGACCCGGATTCGGACGCCTGCCATGGGCTCTGCATGTCGATACTTTCGGTCACCAAGGACGAAGTCATGAGTTCGTTCTGGCATCGTGGTTCGGTGTCCGAAGCCGCCATTTCGGGGGCATTCAGGGGGAAAGGCCGACCGGCTAGGGATGAGGCGGGTGCCTGGATGTGGGTGATGCTGGCTACCACATTGTTCGTCGACAAGAGTTGTAGTAGAGTGACCCCCAAGCTCCTACACGAGGTGCTCTACGGCTTGGATTTGATTGGGGGTTACTCATAGGGATCGGCTACGCTGACATACATGTACAGACAGCTAGGTATTGCCAGCCGAGGGGACTCTGCCCAGATGTCGGGCTGCTTGACTCTTCTGCAGTCTTGGATATATGAGTATTTCCCCGATTTCCGACCCCGGGGGCGTCTACCCATCGATCCTGACTGTCCCGTACGATCACGCTCGTGGAGCGTAGGGAATGCGCCACAGTCAGACGATCGGCTCACAGCCATCCGTCGGCGCCTCGACAGACTCACTGCCTCCGATGTACGTGAAGTTATTTTATTTAAATTTAGTTACCCGTTATTTAAAATAATATAATTATTTTTATAAATGCTTTTATGCAATTGTGTACAGGTGCAATGGTTGCCATACGGCAACTCCAGCCCAGATGCGATAGAGCCGAGGACTCTTTATAGCGGATTGATTCGATACCGCGATGTCGTCGAGCCGTACTTGCCTGCGCGGTATCTGCGTCAGTTGGGGTATGTCCAGACTGTCCCTCCCCCTACATACCCGCCAATCAGTGCAGTACGTGCTTGGGAGTCTAGGAACTACAGGGTTGAGCATTCTGAGGCTGCTGCAGTAGGTGCCTGGACCCAGTTCTCGATTTCTGGGACGGTCAACACCGGTATTTTGACCCCCACCACACAGGATCGCGGGGAGGCGACTGAGGATTACCTGCAGTTATACAGTCGGGTTTCCTATCCGACTCTCATGGGCGAGGAGCTGCCGGACGAGAACGAGGTCCCTACGCGTGTTAATACCGCCTATGTAAGTTGGTTACTAAATTTTAATTAATGTTATTTCATTACAATAATTTATTTTTTTAATAAATTTTAGTTTTATATTTTTATTCTTCCATTTGTTTAGTGGGTGAACCGTCTTTTGGGCATTACATCGATTTGGCAGCAGGGATGCGAATGTCCGGTGGCGGCGGAAGTCCAAGAAGAACTGGCTACGTTTAAGTTGGATTACGACAATGCCCAATAATGATGTAATGAATGTTTTTTTTTTAATTATTATTGTAAAACATTATGTTGAATGACTTTTTTTTTATTTATTATTTGTAAAACATTAAGTTGAATGGTTTTTTTTATAGTATATAGTATTTTTAATACATAGTATATACATATAAATTTTATTAGTAAAACGTATTCTCGTAATACGTTTTATAAATATTTTTGAAAAAAAAAAAAAAATTGAACTACCTATATGTTTTAACTTCCACTATTTTTCATCCAAATCACGCGTTAACGATCCAACTGACATGGTAGACATGAAGGACTAGAAAATTCATGACTCTTCAAGTAGTACTGGATTTAGCACATATAGTACCACATGTTCCTCTACGCAGTACCTGTTTTTAATGAATTAGTACCTACTTTTGGTCAACCAAGATGGATTATTTCAATTGTGGTCAACATTTATAGAAAGTAGTACCAGTCATAAGTTCATATAGTACCACATTTTAGGACTATAGTACCACATATCGTATCTTTAGTACCACATGTAATGAACATATTAAAACACCGAATTTCGGTCGCAAATGATGTTTACACGACCCATGATCACTCTCACATTAGTTTATAATAGAAAACACTATTATTACACTTCACTTCATAGAATGACACACTTCATCT